TCCTAACAATTTGCAAAGTAGGTTGGGTAATGCTAATAAACAAACAATTCCTAAACCAATCTTCTCTTTTCTAGATTCAATAAGAAATTGGTGTTAAAACACAAAGAACTTACTATCTCTATTGCTGTAGGAGAATGAAAAGGGTAAATCATTGAATTTTGAAAGGTCGTCTCTTTAATTCCTTCCTTAACGGTCAGTGATGTGGATTATGTTTGAAAAATTTAATAAATCACAAGAGGTAGTGAAGATGATGAATTACAGTTGTATAAGGGGGTGAAATGGTAGGGGTTAGGGATTAAGAGAAATGGTGTTGTTGAAGTTTAAGACCTCAATTTTTATTAAGAGTCAGTATTGATACACACTTTTCCTTTTATATATAGATCTAAAACAAGGATCTATTTATACACAAGTCTTATACATCACACTCATACAAAATCCCAACTATTCACTCTCCAACTTCAATGGTTGAGATTTATCATGAATTTTTAAGTGTAAAAGATAATTATCTTTAATAAATATGAATAAAATCGACCATTACAAGTGGAGAGATGAATGGTTACGATTTTATGTAAGTATGGTATGTAGGTGTTATGTGTAAATGGATTCCTACTCAAATATATATATATATATATATATATGAAAAAAGTTCTAATTTGCTTTATCTCCTAAAAAATAGGAGGAAGATCACTCCAAATTTATGTTATTTCAATAAACTCTTATTGAAAAAAACTAAAATACCATATTTTTAAAGTATGAATATTTTTGGTCTTTTCTTATTGAAATGACATAATTTTAAAATAATTTTCTTTTCAATTTTTAACAAGTAGGGCAAATAAGCACTATCTCATATATATATATATATATATATATACATGGTTAAGTGCTTGTTTGTTGGACCCTCAAATTTTTAGGAGGAAATCCATTACGCTACTATTAAACTAGCATTCCCTCTTAATTAAATGAACCTAAATGTCTCAAGAACTTAAATTGCTTTCGAATTTAAATGGCTACAAAACCACACTAACCACTACAAATAGTTTATTTGTGTATTGTTTAATCTTTTGCTTTGCAGACTCAATACTAGGCCAATCAAAAAAAGAGGAAATACTCAATAGTAGACATACAAATGAGAGACAAAATCAAAAACCATATTTATCTCAAACCTAGACTTGTACAATCAAATTTATCTAAATCAAATTAATTATCCCTAGACTTCTCAATAGGAGAAAGAAACTACACATTATCAATTTGGTAAACAAAACATGAAAGAAAATTAAAAATCTCAAAAAAAAATATCCAAGGGACAATATACAATTGGTCATTCCTTGACTCCAATTGCTCAAAGATGGGTATAATGCATAGGTGGAAATCAAAAGTTAAAAAGGGGATCAAAGAAGGGGAA